CAAACACCCACTGATCTATTCAAACACCCACTGATCTATTCAAACACTCACTGATCTATTCAAACACCCACTGATCTATTCAAACACCCACTGATCTATTCAAACACCCACTGATCTATTCAAACACCCACTGATCTATTCAAACACCCACTGATCTATTCAAACACCCACTGATCTATTCAAACACCCACTGATCTATTCAAACACCCACTAATCTATTAAAACACCCACTGATCTATTCAAACACCCACTGATCTATTTAAACACCCACTGATCTATTCAAACACCCACTGATCTATTCAAACACCCACTAATCTATTAAAACACCCACTGATGTGTTCAAACACCCACTGATCTATTCAAACACCCACTGATCTATTCAAACACCCACTGATCTATTCTTACACCCACTGATCTATTCAAACACCCACTGATCTATTCAAACACCCACTAATCTATTTAAACACCCACTGATCTATTCAAACACCCACTAATCTATTCAAACACCCACTGATCTATTCAAACACCCACTAATCTATTTAAACACCCACTGATCTATTCAAACACCCACTAATCTATTCAAACACCCACTCATCTATTCAAACACCCACTAATCTATTTAAACACCCACTGATCTATTCAAACACCCACTGATCTATTCAAACACCCACTGATCTATTCAAACACCCACTGATCTATTCAAACACTCACTGATCTATTCAAACACCCACTGATCTATTCAAACACTCACTGATCTTTTCAAACACCCACTGATCAATTTAAACACCCACTGATCGATTCAAACACCCACTGATCTATTCAAACACCCACTGATCGATTCAAACACCCACTGATCTATTAAAACACCCACTGATCCATTTAAACACGTCTAACCCAAAAGCCCGACCTGCCACTGGAGTGAACCGGCTCTTGTGGTAATTGACTTTCTTACATCTGAGTTGCCGCCTCCTCACACAGATCACACATACAGAATGCACAGTGTACGAACTCCGTAGCACTAACGAGGACATAATTGTTTTTGTGTCCGATAACAGCGTAAACTTGTGCTGAATTGTAAAACGTCTTATGGTCTGTCTGTCTGTCTGTCTGTCTGTCTGTCTGTCTGTCAGTATGTCTGTCTGTCTGTCTGTCTCTCTCTCTCTCTCTCTCTCTCTCTCTCTCTCTCTCTCTCTCTCTCTCTCTCACTCACTGATAGAGACGCAAACTTTCACCTTGTCACCCCTATTTCATTTGATTGCTGACTCTCACTTTGTCAGACTCGCTGTCTTCCGTACGTGTGCATGTATGTGAAACTATAGCTAAAACAACACTCACAACAGACACCACAGCTCAAACAACAGTCACAACAGACACCATAGCTTAAACAACACTCACAACAGACACCAGAGCTCAAACAACTTTTACAACAGACACCAGAGCTCAAACAACCCACACAACAGACACCACAGCTCAAACAACTTTCACAACAGACCCCACAGCTCAAACAACTTTTACAACAGACACCATAGTTTAAAAAAAACAAACACAACAGACACTACAGCTAAAACAATACTCACAACAGACACCACAGCTCAAACAACTTTTACAACAGACACCACAGCTCAAACAACCCTCACAACAGACACCACAGCTCAAACAACCCTCACAACAGACACTACAGCTCAAACAACTTTTACAAAAGAAAGCATAGCTCAAACAACCCACACAACAGACACCACAGCTCAAACAACACTCATAACAGACAACAGAAACTCAACTAGATGTCCTCTACCACACAACCTGCCGCCCCCTTACCCGATGACGTGGTTGCTGCCGGCAGGGAGTGGACATTTCTTGAAGATGATGTAGTTGGAGAGCTGTAGGGGGTAGACGGGAGCGTTGTCTGACATGTTGAGTAGGCAGTCGAAGCCAGACTCCGGGGCTTGCAGGGCGGCCGTGTAGTTGCCGATGTAGATGTTGTGCGTGATCTGCGTGCATAACTTCTATTGTCTTTTATTGTTGTTGTTATTATGTGTCTGTTGTGTGCATTCGCTGCCCCTAAGGTAAGCGTGGCCAAACTATGGCCCGCCCAGCAATCTTTACTGCACCAGCCAGGCTGGTGTCACATGACTATACGAGACCAGGTCGGCCATTTTGAATTTGGTCCCCCTGAACAAACAAGGTTGCCCGCCCCTGCTCCAGGGTCACGCAGAGTTATGGTTCCTTAGTTTAGACTGCGTGTGCATATGTGTGCATGTGTGTGTGATGTGTGTGTGTGTGTGATGTGTGTGATGTGTGTGTGTGTGTGATGTGTGTGATGTGTGTGTGTGTGTGATGTGTGTGTGTGTGATGTGTGTGTGTGTGTGTGATGTGTGTGTGTGTGATGTGTGTGTGTGCATGTGTGTGTGATGTGTGTGTGTGTGATGTGTGTGTGTGTGCATGTGTGTGTGATGTGTGTGTGTGTGATGTGTGTGTGTGTGTGTGATGTGTGTGTGTGTATATGTGTGTGATGTGTGTGTGATGTGTGTGTGTGTGTGATGTGTGTGTGTGATGTGTGTGTGTGTGATGTGTGTGATGTGTGTGCATGTGTGTGTGTGTGTGTGATGTGTGTGTGTGATGCGTGTGTGTGTGATGTGTGTGTGTGTGATGTGTGTGTGATGTGTGTGTGTGTGTGTGTGTGTGTGATGTGTGTGTGTGTGATGTGTGTGTGTGCATGTGTGTGTGATGTGTGTGTGTGTGATGTGTGTGTGTGCATGTGTGTGCATGTGTGTGTGATGTGTGTGTGTGTGATGTGTGTGTGTGTGATGTGTGTGTGTGTATGTGTGTGTGATGTGTGTGTGATGTGTGTGTGTGTGTGATGTGTGTGTGTGTGTGTGTGTGATGTGTGTGTGTGTGATGTGTGTGATGTGTGTGCATGTGTGTGTGTGTGTGTGTGTGATGTGTGTGTGTGATGCGTGTGTGTGTGATGTGTGTGTGATGTGTGTGTGATGTGTGTGTGTGTGTGTGTGTGTGATGTGTGTGTGTGTGTGTGATGTGTGTGCATGTGTGTGTGTGTGTGTGATGTGTGTGTGTGAGTGTGTGATGTGTGTGTGTGTGATGTGTGTGTGTGAGTGTGTGATGTGTGTGTGTGTGATGTGTGTGTGTGATGTGTGTGTGTGTGATGTGTGTGTGTGTGATGTGTGTGTGATGTGTGTGTGTGTGATGTGTGTGTGTGTGTGTGATGTGTGTGCATGTGTGTGTGTGTGTGATGTGTGTGTGTGATGTGTGTGTGTGATGTGTGTGTGTGATGTGTGTGTGTATGCGTGTGTCTGTGGTGTGATATATGTGTGTGTGTGTGTGTATGTGTCTATGATGTGATATGTGTGTGTATGTGGTGTGATATGTGTGTGTATGTGGGTGTATGTGGGTGTGTGTGATGTCTGTATGCATGTATATCTGTGTGCATGTTTAATTAAATATATCTATGTGTATGTGTGATGCATAAATGCATGTTTATGTATGCATATGTTTATGTGTGTATGTATGTCTGTAAGTATGTCGGATGTATGTATGCATGTGTATGTATGCGCGCATAAGTATGCCTGTGTCTATGTGAGCATCATTAGTCATTGTTCTTGACAAATAACTTGTTTAATTTACCAATTTATTAAATAATCAATAATTATAATTAAAAAGTAGGGAATAAAATATTTAAAAGCTTACAGTTGCGTAATTGTTCGTGTCCATTAAAGTATAAAACACAATTGTATCACCTCAGTGGGTTAACTTTTAAACTAAACCTTGAAGGAGTGAGTTTAAACCCTATCAGGACCACACAACGAGCGATAATTACCCAGTGACACAAAGTGCTACAGTCGGATGAGAATACCCCATGCACAAGTTCCAGAGAGCCCGTTTAACCGTTAGGTTATGGTGGGCCCCGACAAAAGCCAGGGTGGGACTTTAAAATAACAAACATGTTTGTTTCATTTTAGGACGTGGTTTTGATTAAATTTTCACTTATAAACAAGTTTGTATATTCATATTATAAATCACAAACGGTGTCTGTACTTTGTTTTGAATTTAAGTGTTAACTCCTATGACCATCATATGGGTTTCATTTTCAATTGCCATTTAAGCTACAAAGTATATTTAACAGTCCCACTGTACATTTCCTCTTTTTTTTTTAAAAATTGCATCAATCAGTAAAAGTAAACTTTCGCTGGAGTCCTTATTTGCATCACATCCCTAGAAAAAAAAACATTTTTGTAATTATTTTTTTTTCCTTATTTTCCTTACCTTCCCAGAACTTAACTGTAATATAAGGCCGTTTGAGGAGGTGGTTGCTTTATCGTTAAGATTTGGGAGTCTGCCAGAATGCTGAGTGACGTCCCGAGTGACGTCCTGAGTCACGTCTTGAGTCACGTCCCGCGTCACGTCCTGGGTGACGTCCCGAGTGACGTCCAGAGTCACGACCCGAGTTACGTCCCGAGTCACATCCTGAGTCACGTCCCGAGTCATGTCCCGAGTCACACCATGAGTCACGTTCAGAGTCACGTTCCGAGCTACCTCCTGAGTCACGCCCGAGTTGCTGAGTGGTAGCTCTGAAGAACTGGTTTAGGAGGCTGCTACCACTCCACCTGGAGCCTTGACTCCAGGGCCAGCTGCCACAACCTATTTTCTTCGCTACAAAAGGTTCTGAGAATAGAGAATCACCAAGCATCCACAGACATGGGGTACTGGCGACCTGAGGAAACGAGGGCGTCAGAGAGAAACTTGAAGGTGGAAGGCTCATGTTGGGCTCAGAGAATAACACTTTGTTATAGGCGAAACCACGATTTTAAATTTAGTGTATCTGTGTGTCTGTGTGTGTGTTTGTGTGTGTTTGTGTGTGTGTGTGTGTGTGTGTGTGTGTGTGTGTGCTTGTGTCAGTTTGTGTGTTGATACTATGCCATTGCAAAAGATTGACAGTAAAACATGTGAGAAGATGCTAGAATTCCAATAGTAAACCGTGGGATAAGATCTTAGAATTTCCATAGTAAAACGTGGGATAATGTGCTAGAATTCCTACGCAGCTCGTGGGACAAGTTGCTAGAATTCCTACCATGAAACGTTGGGAAAAGGTGCTAGAATTGTACCTTAAAACGCAGGGCAAGGTGTTAGAATCCCTACCACTAAACGTGGGAAAAGGTGCTAGAATTTCTATCATAAAACCTAGGAAAAGGTGCTAGAATACCTATCATAAAACGTAGGAAAAGGTGCTAGAATTAATATCATAAAAGGAAGGAAAAGGTGCTAGAATTCCTATCATAAAACGTAGGAGAAGGTGCTAGAATTCCTATCATAAAACGTAGGAAAAGGTGCCAGAATTCCTATTAAAAAACTTAGGAAAAGGTGCTAGAATTTCTATCATAAAACGTAGGAAAAGTGCTAAAAATCCTATAGGAAAACCTGTGACAAGGGACTGGCCACAGTAGAAGACGAGACTCTAGTGCAGCAGTGACAACATACATGTGAGACTTGTGACTCTAGTGCAGCAGTGACAACATACCTATGAGACATCTGACCCTAGTGCAGCAGCGACAACATACCTGTGAGACTTCTGGCTCCAGAATCCACGTGGTTAGCTCACACGTCGGGGTTCGAACCTGCAGGAAACGAATGATGAAAGTGACATTTAAAAGCAGAAAAATGAAACAGCTGGTAGTGTAGCTTCTAGCACATTTAAACATTGGCTGTGTGTTAGAATCACCAACAAAACAATACTTTTGTGTTCTCTAAACACTGTGTTTCAGAACAAGAGCACATCCAATACATTGCTAGATGTAAGCGCAGCAGATGTGATATTGTCTTATTACCAATAAAGTGACCATGGAATGCGAAAATAAATTCCCTACAGATTAGGCTCAATTTTCGGCGAGGTGGCCAGGTGACATTCCTTTTAACATGCAATGACAAACAGATAGGGGAACAGACAGACAGACCGAAGTGACAGGTCAACAAATATACAGACAACTAAAACAATCTGACATGAAAACACAGAGGGAAGAAGCAATTTCCCACTCACCCCCAAACGACCGTGCACTCACCTCAACTCGACCGTCCACTCACCTCAACTCGATATCCACTCACCTCCACTCGACTGTCCACTCGACCATCCTCTAGACCGTCCACTCACCTCCACTCGACCATCCACTCACCTCCACTCGGCCGTCCACTCACCTCCGCTCGACCGTCCACTCACCTCCACTCGACCGTCCACTCACCTCCACTCTGCCGTCCACTCACCTCCGCTCGACCGTCCACTCACCTAAACTCGACCATCCATTCATCTCCACTCGACCGTCCACTCACCTCAACTCTACCGTCCACTCAAATCCACTCAATCGTCCACTCGACCGTCCACTCAACTCCACTCTACCATCCACTCACCTCCACTCGACCGTCCACTCACCTAAACTCAACCATCCATTTATCTCCACTCGGCCGTCCACTCACCTCCACTCGACCGTCCACTCACCTCCACTCGACAATCCACTCACCTAAACTCGGCAGTCCACTCACCTCCACTCAGCCGTCCACTCACCTCCACTCGACCGTCCACTCATCTCCACTCGATCATCCACTCACCTCCACACGACCGTCCACTCACCTCCACTCGACCGTCCACTCACCTCCACTCGATCGTCCACTCACCTCCACTCGATCGTCCACTCACCTCCTCTCAACCGTCCACTCACCTCCTCTCAGCCGTCCACTCACCTTCACTCGGCCGTCCACTCACCTCCTCTCAACCGTCCACTCACCTCCACTCGACCGTCCACTCACCTCCACTCGATAGTCCGCTCACCTCCACTCGATCGTCCACTCACCTCCACTCGATTGTCCACTCACCTCCACTCGACCGTCCACTCACCTCCACTCGACAATCCACTCACCTAAACTCGGCCGTCCACTCACCTCCACTCAGCCGTCCACTCACCTCCACTCGACCGTCCACTCATCTCCACTCGATCATCCACTCACCTCCACACGACCGTCCACTCACCTCCACTCGACCGTCCACTCACCTCCACTCGATCGTCCACTCACCTCCACTCGATCGTCCACTCACCTTCACTCGGCCGTCCACTCACCTCCTCTCAACCGTCCACTCACCTCCACTCGACCGTCCACTCACCTCCACTCGATAGTCCGCTCACCTCCACTCGATCGTCCACTCACCTCCACTCGATTGTCCACTCACCTCCACTCGACCGTCCACTCACCTCCACTCGACCGTCCACTCACCTTCCCTCGACCGTCCACTCACCTCCGCTCGACCGTCCACTCGACCGTCCACTCGATCATCCACTCACCTCCTCTCGACCGTCCACTCGCCTCCACTCGACCATCCACTCACCTCCACTCGACCGTCCACTCACCTCCACTCGACCGTCCACTCACCTCCACTCGACCGTCCACAGAGATCCAGGTGGCCCAGGTGTAGTCCGGGTCGCTCTTGTGGTGCATCCTGAAGGTAAAGCTATAGCAGCCCAGGCAGGTGATGATCAAATCCACGCCGTAGAAGAAGACGATGGAGCCGTCGTCTCGGGTCGACTGGGTGGAGAGGTAGTGCATCGGCACCTCATGCCATTCTCCCTCGTTGTTCTCCTGCACCAAGACAAGTGACCAGTTTGTACAGGCAAAATCTACACAATTACTTCCATCCCACACCGTTATCTTCACAAGGGCCCCAGTCTTCTTCTTTATATCAGACATGGAAGGTCACTTCAAATAGTTTTTGGTTACTTTTCCTCTTTTTTACGCTGAAATATCCACCTCTGACCTCTAGCCCCAGTGGAGTAGAGGAAACACCTGTAAAATTGTTGATATTCCTTAATTCCTAAACAACTTCTACATATAAACAAACAAACTTCGTCCCCTTTCTTAGATCAGAAACAATTTCAAATGTTATTGAGTTGATTGTATGGACAGTGAAGATTGTTTGATCGCATGAGACAAGACGTTACACACGAGTCCTGGAATAGGGATGGTGACACAGTCAGAGATGAGAGGCATATATGTTTGATGTGTAAGTCACATGACACAGGCTTCCATCAATGGTCGATCTCACTCACAACACAGGCAATAACTGTGTATGTGGGAACGTGATCGCCTGACACGGCACCTGATGATGATATGTTCATATCACAGTGAAGAACTGACAGAAGAACAGCGAGACGTGTGCGTGCATGTCTACTCGCCTTGTGGTAATAGTGCGAGCATGTCTACTCACCTTGTGGTACAAGTGCGTGGATGTCTACTCACCTTGTGGTACTAGTGCGTGCATGTCTACTCACCTTGTGGTACTAGTGCGTGCATGTCTACTCACCTTGTGGTACTAGTGCGTGCATTTCTACTCACCTTGTGGTACTAGTGCGTGCATGTCTACTCACCTTGTGGTACTAGTGCGTGCATGTCTACTCACCTTGTGGTACAAGTGCGTGCATGTCTACTCACCTTGTGGTACTAGTGAGTGCATGTCTACTCACCTTGTGGTACTAGTGCGTGCACGTCTACTCACCTTGTGGTACTAGTGCGTGCATGTCTACTCACCTTGTGGTACTAGTGCGTGCATGTCTACTCACCTTGTGGTACAAGTGCGTGCATGTCTACTCACCTTGTGGTACTAGTGCGTGCATGTCTACTCACCTTGTGGTACTAGTGCGTGCATGTCTACTCACCTTGTGGTACAAGTGCGTGCATGTCTACTCACCTTGTAGTACTAGTGCGTGCATGTCTACTCACCTTGTGGTACTAGTGCGTGCATGTCTACTCACCTTGTGGTACTAGTGCCTGCATGTCTACTCACCTTGTGCTACAAGTGCGTGCATGTCTACTCACCTTGTGGTACAAGTGCGTGCATGTCTACTCACCTTGTGGTACTAGTGAGTGCATGTCTACTCACCTTGTGGTACTAGTGCGTGCACGTCTACTCACCTTGTGGTACTAGTGCGTGCACGTCTACTCACCTTGTGGTACTAGTGCGTGCATGTCTACTCACCTTGTGGTACTAGTGCGTGCATGTCTACTCACCTTGTGGTACAAGTGCGTGCATGTCTACTCACCTTGTGGTACTAGTGCGTGCATGTCTACTCACCTTGTGGTACTAGTGCGTGCATGTCTACTCACCTTGTGGTACAAGTGCGTGCATGTCTACTCACCTTGTGGTACTAGTGCGTGCATGTCTACTCACCTTGTGGTACTAGTGCCTGCATGTCTACTCACCTTGTGGTACTAGTGCGTACATGTCTACTCACCTTGTGGTACTAGTGAGTGCATGTCTACTCACCTTGTGGTACAAGTGTGTGCATGTCTACTCACCTTGTGGTACTAGTGCGTGCATGTCTACTCACCTTGTGGTACTAGTGCCTGCATGTCTACTCACCTTGTGGTACTAGTGCGTACATGTCTACTCACCTTGTGGCACTAGTGAGTGCAGGTATACTCACCTTGTGGTACTAGTGCATGCATGTCTACTCACCTTGTGGTACTAGTGCCTGCATGTCTACTCACCTTGTGGTACTAGTGAGTGCAGGTCTACTCACCTTGTGGTACTAGTGAGTGCATGTCTACTCACCTTGTGGTACTAGTGAGTGCATGTCTACTCACCTTGTGGTACTAGTGAGTGCATGTCTACTCACCTTGTGGTACTAGTGCGTGCATGTCTACTCACCTTGTGGTACTAGTGCGTGCATTTCTACTCACCTTGTGGTACTAGTGCATGCATGTCTACTCACCTTGTGGTACTAGTGCGTGCATGTCTACTCACCTTGTGGTACAAGTGCGTGCATGTCTACTCACCTTGTGGTACTAGTGAGTGCATGTCTACTCACCTTGTGGTACTAGTGCGTGCACGTCTACTCACCTTGTGGTACTAGTGCGTGCATGTCTACTCACCTTGTGGTACTAGTGCGTGCATGTCTACTCACCTTGTGGTACAAGTGCGTGCATGTCTACTCACCTTGTGGTACTAGTGCGTGCATGTCTACTCACCTTGTGGTACTAGTGCGTGCATGTCTACTCACCTTGTGGTACAAGTGCGTGCATGTCTACTCACCTTGTGGTACTAGTGCGTGCATGTCTACTCACCTTGTGGTACTAGTGCCTGCATGTCTACTCACCTTGTGGTACTAGTGCGTACATGTCTACTCACCTTGTGGTACTAGTGAGTGCATGTCTACTCACCTTGTGGTACAAGTGTGTGCATGTCTACTCACCTTGTGGTACTAGTGCGTGCATGTCTACTCACCTTGTGGTACTAGTGCCTGCATGTCTACTCACCTTGTGGTACTAGTGCGTACATGTCTACTCACCTTGTGGCACTAGTGAGTGCAGGTATACTCACCTTGTGGTACTAGTGAGTGCATGTCTACTCACCTTGTGGTACTAGTGAGTGCATGTCTACTCACCTTGTGGTACTAGTGAGTGCATGTCTACTCACCTTGTGGTACTAGTGAGTGCAGGTCTACTCACCTTGTGGTACTAGTGAGTGCATGTCTACTCACCTTGTGGTACTAGTGCGTGCATGTCTACTCACCTTGTGGTACAAGTGAGTGCATGTCTACTCACCTTGTGGTACAAGTGCGTGCATGTCTACTCACCTTGTGGTACTAGTGCGTGCATGTCTACTCACCTTGTGGTACAAGTGCGTGCATGTCTACTCACCTTGTGGTACTAGTGCGTGCATGTCTACTCACCTTGTGGTACTAGTGCGTGCATGTCTACTCACCTTGTGGTACAAGTGCGTGCATGTCTACTCACCTTGTGGTACTAGTGCGTGCATGTCTACTCACCTTGTGGTACTAGTGCCTGCATGTCTACTCACCTTGTGGTACTAGTGCGTACATGTCTACTCACCTTGTGGTACTAGTGCGTGCATGTCTACTCACCTTGTGGTACAAGTGTGTGCATGTCTACTCACCTTGTGGTACTAGTGCGTGCATGTCTACTCACCTTGTGGTACTAGTGCCTGCATGTCTACTCACCTTGTGGTACTAGTGCGTACATGTCTACTCACCTTGTGGCACTAGTGAGTGCAGGTATACTCACCTTGTGGTACTAGTGAGTGCATGTCTACTCACCTTGTGGTACTAGTGCGTGCATGTCTACTCACCTTGTGGTACAAGTGAGTGCATGTCTACTCACCTTGTGGTACAAGTGCGTGCATGTCTACTCACCTTGTGGTACTAGTGCGTACATGTCTACTCACCTTGTGGTACTAGTGAGTGCATGTCTACTCACCTTGTAGTACTAGTGAGTGCAGGTCTACTCACCTTGTGGTACTAGTGAGTGCATGTTTACTCACCTTGTGGTACTAGTGCGTACATGTCTACTCACCTTGTGGTACTAGTGCGTGCATGTCTACTCACCTTGTGGTACTAGTGCGTGCATGTCTACTCACCTTGTGGTACTAGTGCGTGCATGTCTACTCACCTTGTGGTACAAGTTGGTCCACAGTTCCACTAGGATGTCTTCGGGGTGCAGATGTTTGGTGTTCTCGGCTTGAATGCCAACTCTGTCAGAGTCAACACACGGCACAGAATCTCAAAGTCATCTCATACAAGTGGGTTAGTGAGCTACATACACACACACACACACACACACACTCTCTCTCTCTCTCTCTCTCACTCTCTCTCTCTCTCTCTCTCTCTTACTCACTCCCTGGATCACTCACTCGATCATTCACTCAATCACTTACAAGGTCACACCAGCTGGACACTGTTACAGGACACACACACACACACTCTCTCTCTTTCTATCTCTCTCTCTTACTCACTCCCTGGATCACTCACTCGATCATTCACTCAATCACTTACAAGGTCACACCAGCTGGACACTGTTACAGGACACACACACACACACACTCTCTCTCTCTATCTCTCTCTCTTACTCACTCCCTGGATCACTCACTCGATCATTCACTCAATCACTTACAAGGTCACACCAGCTGGACACTGTTACAGGACACACACACACACACACTCAAACAGTTTCTGGACGTAACTGTGTTGCGGCTTTTTAAAGCAAGGCTGCGATATTTACACATTTTGGCCGACGAACTCGACTTCTTCAGGCATTTCCTGTGTGGTCGAGCCTAGCCGTGCACACATTTGATAAGCAAACATTGTCTTTATTATTGAGCCAGAGCTGGAGAAGTGTATAGGCAATCAGGCAATCTTACGTCTGCATTTGTAAAGATTCGGAAAGGTGGGGGGGGGGGGGGGGATATTTCAGCGTAAAAAAGAGGAAAAGTAACCAAAAAGAAGAAGAAAATAATAGAAGCACATGAAAGTTTGAGGAAGAAGGAGAAAGAAATAGAATACTCGGAGGTTGACAACAGAGGAGCTGAATGAAGCGAAAGATTGACAGCAAGGAGATGCAGATTTCTAAAACCTGAAATGCATTTCGTCCAAGAGGTAACAGTACTGGCAAGAGGGCGCTAGGGGCGTCATCCATTGTATCTTGGTGACCACCATGATGGTCTGAGGGCGATGTCTCAGGTGTAGAGCTGTGTACACGCAGGTCTAGCTAATTGTTATTCTGCATCTGATCACTTCCGTTCACAGCCAAGTTTATGAAGGTGTTATGGAGTGCGGACCGACACAAACAGGATGTAGTACAATATTTGTTTACCAGCTCCAGTCCACTCTTTGTTGGCTTCTGCCTGATAAAACGCGAGAATTCCGGAGTGCAGTGAGGTTTATTCTTAAGTTATTAATTAATTAATTACTTAATAACTCAAGAATAAACCTCACTGCACTCCGGAATTCTCGCGTTATATCCGTAATTAATTAATTACCAGTTCAATTTAGAAGTTCAAGGTTGCGACTGGTTCTCATTCGGTTTTAGGATCAAGTTTAGTACGGACAAGTGTTTCACTAACCCAGTGGCTCTGAACCTTACTACTGTGGCAACTCTTTAATTCAGTTGCTTATGTTGTGGCCACCTGCCACCTGCCAACCATAACATTATTTTCTTTGCTGCTTCATAACTTTAGTGAATCTGTTATTTTCTGATGGTCTAACGACCCCTGTGAAAAGGTCATGACCCACAAGTAGATACCTAGCGTCCATATTTGGGGGACTTGCATCGATAAACTGTTCGACAGCAGAAGCATTAGGGCCCAGCCTAAACATCATTACTATTCTGCTGTACTGTTATATGTTACATAAGCCTCGCAGTTCCGTTTTATTCTGTGCAGGGAGTTCAATATCGTGGATAGAATCCAGTCCAGTAGCCTTAGCTTCTCTCATCAACGTCCGTTTTATAGTTTCTTTTGGACGCCCTCACCTCCTTGGTCCCATCGTAATGCCTGTTTGATTATCCTCTACTGGTTTCTTCTCAGGATATGTCCAATATAACGCCATCTTCTCGGTCTGATAACTGTTGATGATTAAGATTGCCAAGCCTTTTTTTTTTTTTTTGTATTTCTCCATCCCTGTTGAAAACATCCCATTTTATGTTTAGCATTTCCCCAGGCGTTTGTTTTCAAAAGCATTTAACTTTCGTTTAAGATCTTTAGTGGTTTTCAACGTTCACTTATGGTACAATTAAAATAACAGCATTGAGAATAAGTAACTTGATGTTTAAACTATACAATTGAGAATTCCATATTCGGTTTAAACTTGTAACAGATGCTGATGCCTTGCTACAGAATTCGTGTTGCTCGTGCTTCACTTGTAGCAAGTAGCTAGCGGTTCTGCGTCAGAAATGAGCCAAAAAGTATCAAAACCAAAACAATGAAATCGATCCTCGCAATTGAAGACTTTATAAATTCTAGAAACCTATGTAGTTATTGAACCGTCGCCTGCGTGTGTGGTCTTTCAGAGCAAATGGGAAACTTAGTCTGACAGAAAATGTAACTAAGTTATTTCTTGAGAAACATTCAAGTTTTATAAGCAGAGAAAATGTCTGTTAGAAATAAATATCAATGTTACCTCCCTTGACTTGAAAGATTTCAGTAGTCAGTTGTTCAGAACCAATAGCCAAACACTACTGCAGGACTGACCACTGGTCAGTGCAGCCGTCAGGGTGCCACAAGATAACTGTTTAGAAAGTTGAATGGTCTGTCAGGGATTGGTCTTGTTGTTTTGGCATTTGGTATGAGATTGTTATAGGAGGTGACCAGGTATCAGCTCGGAGAGGGAAACAGCTTTAATCCGCCAACAATTTGCAAACGTTGAATCTCTCTGGACATTCTGAGCTGTGAATAGTCTACAGGTTGTGTCTCAGTGACACGAGGCAGATGATGAACTTTTACACACAGTCTAGGTGTTGTGTCTCAGGGACATGAGGCAGATGATGAACTTTTACACACAGTCTAGGAGATGTGGTTCTCTGGGACATGAGGCAGATGATGAACTTTTACACACAGTCTAGGAGATATGGTTCTCTGGGACATGAGGCAGATGATGAACTTTTACACACAGTCTAGGAGATATGGTTCTCTGGGACATGAGGCAGATGATGAACTTTTACACACAGTCTAGGAGATGTGGTTCTCTGGGACATGAGGCAGATGATGAACTTTTACACACAGTCTAGGAGATGTGGTTCTCTGGGACATGAGGCAGATGATGAACTTTTACACACAGTCTAGGATATGTGGTTCTCTGGGACATGAGGCAGATGATGAACTTTTACACACAGTCTAGGAGATGTGGTTCTCTGGGACATGAGGCAGATGATGAACTTTTACACACAGTCTAGGAGATGTGGTTCTCTGGGACATGAGGCAGATGATGAACTTTTACACACAGTCTAGGAGATGTGGTTCTCTGGGACATGAGGCAGATGATGAACTTTTACACACAGTCTAGGAGATGTGGTTCTCTGGGACATGAGGCAGATGATGAACTTTTACACACAGTCTAGGAGATAACGTTCTCTGGGACATGAGGCAGATGATGAATTTTTACACACAGTCTAGGAGATAACGTTCTCTGGGACATGAGGCAGATGATGAACTTTTACACACAGTCTAGGAGATGACGTTCTCAGGGACATGAGGCAGATAATGAACTTTTACACACAGTCTAGGAGATGATGTTCTCTGGGACATGAGGCAGATGATGAACTTTTACACACAGTCTAGGAGATGACGGTCTCTGGGACATGAGGCAGATTGTGAACTTTTACACACAGTCTAGGAGATAACGTTCTCTGGGACATGAGGCAGATGATGAACTTTTACACACAGTCTAGGAGATGACGTTCTCAGGGACATGAGGCAGATGATGAACTTTTACACACAGTCTAGGAGATGACGTTCTCTGGGACATGAGGCAGATGATGAACTTTTACACACAGTCTAGGAGATGACGTTCTCAGGGACATGAGGCAGATGATGAACTTTTAAACACAGTCTAGGAGATAACGTTCTCTGGGAGACTAGTCTGGGTGATGAGATTCTCTGGGAGACTAGTCTGGGTGATGAGATTCTCTAGGAGACTAGTCTGGGTGATGAGGTTCTCTGGGAGACAAGTCTTGGTGATGAGATTCTCTGGAAGACCAGTCTGGGTGATGTGGTTCTCTGGGAGACAAGTCTGGGTGATGAGATTCTCTGGGAGAGCAGTCTCGGGAATGTGGTTCTCTGAGAGACTAGTCTGGGTGATGAGATTCTCTGGGAGACTAGTCTAGGTGATGTGGTTCTCTGGGAGACTAGTCTGGGTGATGAGATTCTCTGGGAGACTAGTCTGGGTGATGAGATTCTCTGGGAGACTAGTCTGGGTGATGAGATTCTCTGGGAGACTAGTCTGAATGATGAGGTTCTCTGGGAGAGCAGTCTCGGGAATGTGGTTCTCTGGGAGACTAGTCTGGGTGATGAGATTCTCTGGGAGACTAGTCTGGGTGATGAGATTCTCTGGGAGACTAGTCTGAGTGATGAGGTTCTCTGGGAGAGCAGTCTCGGGAATGTGGTTCTCTGGGAGACTAGTCTGGGTGATGAGATTCTCTGGGAGACTAGTATGGGTGATGTGGTTCTCTGGGAGACTAGTCTGGGTGATGAGGTTCTCTGGGAGACTAGTCTGGGGGATGTGGTTCTCTGGGAGACTAGTCTGTGTGATGTGGTTCTCTGGGAGACTAGTCTGGGTGATGTGGTTCTCTGGGAGACTAGTCTGGGTGATGTGGTTCTCTGGGAGACTAGTCTGGGTGATGAGATTCTCTGGGAGACTAGTCTGAGTGATGAGGTTCTCTGGGAGAGCAGTCAGGGGAATGTGGTTCTCTGGGAGACTAGTCTGGGTGATGAGATTCTCTGGGAGACTAGTATGGCTGATGTGGTTCTCTGGGAGACTAGTCTGGGTGATGAGGTTCTCTGGGAGACTAGTCTGGGTGATGAGGTTCTCTGGGAGACTAGTCTGGGTGATGAGATTCTCTGGGAGACTAGTCTGGGTGATGAGGTTCTCTGGGAGACTAGTCTGGGTGATGGTGTTTTCTTGGAGACTAGTCTGGTAATGTGGTTCTCTAGGAGACTAGCCTGGGTGATGAGGTTCTCTGGGAGACTAGTCTGGGTGATGAGATTCTCTGGGAGAGTAGTCTCTGTGATGTGGTTCTCTGGGAGTCTAGTCTGGGTGATGTGGTTCTCTGGGAGAGTAGTCTGGGTGATGTGGTTCTCTGGGAGAGTTTTCTCGGGGTGTGGTTCTCTGGGAGAGTTGTCTGGGGGATGTGGTTGTCTGGGAGAGTTGTCTGTGTGATGTGGTTCTTTGGGAGACTAGTCTGGGTGATGTGGTTCTCTGGGAGACTAGTCTGGGTGATGTGGTTCTTTGGGAGACTAGTCTGGGTGATGTGGTTCTTTGGGAGACTAGTCTGGGTGATGTGGTTCTCTGGGAGAGTAGTCTGGGTGATGTGGTTCTCTGGGAGACTAGTCTGGGTGATGAGGTTCTCTGGGAGACTAGTCTGGGTGATGTGGTTCTTTGGGAGAGTAATCTGGGTGATGTGGTTCTCTGGGAGAGTAATCTGTGAGATGTGGTTCTCTGGGAGAGTAATCTGTGAGATGTGGTTCTCTGGGAGAGTAATCTGTGAAACGTGGTTCTCTGGGAGAGTAGTCTAGGTAATGTGGTTCCCATGACAGGTGATATTTTCCACACTGTGAAGTATTAATGATTACATCACTGCTCTGGTAAAAAATTCAAATTTAAATTAAAAACATTCGTTAATTATTAATGTAAAAAAGTTGCAACTCAGTCGTGTATTTATAAACTGTATTTGAAGTAGAATCACATATACAGAGCAATGAATATTGTAATACAAATCCTAATGTCGCTTGTTCTCTGGCATTTATTTCCAAGCTAATTTACTATTTGGGATTGTCTTCTTCTTCTTCTTCTTCTTCTTCTTCTTCTTCTTCTTCTTCTTCTTCTTCTTCTTCTTCTTCTTCTTCTTCTTCTTCTTCTTCTTCTTCTTCTTCTTCTTCTTCTTCTTCTTCTTCTTCTTCTTCTTCTTCTTCTTCTTCTTCTTCTTCTTCTTTTTCTTCTTCTTC